GCGGGTCCAGGTCCAGGAGCAGGTCCAGGTCCTGGCGCAGGTCCAGGCCCGGGAGCTGGTTTAGTTCCGCCAGATCCACCATCCGAATTGTACGCTTGCTGGTCTCCACCGCTAGCACTGGGTGGGACTGCAGGTGCAGGTTGTACAACCTCTGCATTTTCGTAGCCAGAATTCTGGGATTGGCAATGGGCGAACACTGCGCCGACGGCGAGTAAGAACACCACGGTACGCATCTGTGATACGGCGAATATCATCAAGTGAACAAACAAAATCTTATCAAAAAAGCGAAGAAAGTTGAAGACTTAAAGTTTTCATTGAACGACGACAAACTGTAAAATGTGATGAACATTGTCAACTCTTCCTCTTTTATACTAGTAAACCTTCAGCGTTACTAATTTCGATCTAGTAAGTCCTTTGTGACATGCCGCGCGTAACACCATCGGATAAGGAAAACAAACACGTTGCGCGAAGGTCAAAATTACTTGAACATGCGTCGGCAGATCTTTGATCACTTGAGTATTATCGTTATTGCCCATTTTTTCAGAAATACCAAAATCAGTACGTTTCATTATAAATGACATAGTTGTATTTTTTTTAGAAAATTTGAAAAGTGAAAGCCAAATTCGGTTCCTAATGATTTTACGATAGGCTCCAATGACATCTTACGAGGTTTTACGCGTATGACCTGCAATGAAAGAAAACTAGCTCAATGAACTTTTTAGGATGTGCAGACTTTCGCTAAAACTTTGCTAAATCGGTTCTGTAATATCTTCTTACTTTTCCCGGTTTTATATGTTGTTTACCTCTCTAACAAACAACCTTCGCTGTCCCATACAAACATAGCTGCATCAAAGCACCAACGATAAGTACAACTTGCATGGGTATTAAAAAAATTACCGTTGACAAACTTAAGCATTTCAAATGTACGTTAGGGGTTTCAGATTCGGACGAGTGAAGAAGCATAACGTTACAATTTCGACCTTTTCAGCTAATGATTCAGTGACCTACTTTCTCCATGAAAGTAAAGTTAGATTGC